AACTACTGAAAGCGGTTGCGTGGTTGACACGATATGTTACGTATTTAAAGGTCATGCATCTTGCGGGATACGAAAATATGAATGTGGGGCCTTTGAGAGTCGAAGATATTAGAAATGCAGAGTTAACGATTTTGAGGGCTGCTCAGTGGGAAGCGTGGGGTGAGATTACCAAGGAGGATAGTCCCGATTTCGCAGATTTCAAGGTGCGGTTAGATAGATTATCTCCGATAGTTTCCGAAGGGATCGCTAGAGTTGGTGGACGTCTACAAATGTTAGAATCGTCATATGAGACCCGTCATCCGGCTTTATTACCTTGCTACCATCCAGTCACTGATCTCATTATAAGACACTACCATGTTCTTGAAGGTCATTTGGGTACTTCGCAAGTACTATCAAGTATTCGATGTAAGTTCTGGATAGTGAAGGGAGGTACTGCTGTCCGTAAAATAATTGATAAGTGCATGGAATGTAAACTCCGAAATGCTCGTCCAGTACAGCAGATAATGGCACCACTCCAGCGTGGCAAGCTTCTGAAGGGAATTATCCATTTGAGTACGTTGGGGTGGATTTGTTCGGACCTTTTGTAGTGAAGAGAGGCAGAACCCTATGTAAAAGATATGGCTGTTTATTCACCTGTTTGAAAATGAGAGCTGTGCATATTGAGATGGTTCATTCTCTAACTACTGATTCATTCGTGCTAGCATTACATAGATTTATAAATCGCCGGGGTGTACCGAAGATGATGTTCAGCGACAGAGGGACTAATTTTGTTGGCTGTCACGCCGAGCTTAAAGAATACTTCGAAGGTCCTCAAACGAGAGTTCAGGAAGAGTTACTGAAAAGGAACATCGAGTGGCACTTCAACCCACCACATGCCAGCCATAGAGGTGGGCTATGGGAAAGACTTATAGGAATTATCAAGCGTATTTTAAGCTCCATAATTAAAAACCAGAGTTTGAATGACGAAACGCTAGAGACATTTTTTTGTGAAGCTGAACGAATATTAAATGACCGGCCGTTATCGCCTGTGAGGGACGACGTCAAGGATTTTGATGTGTTAACCCCAAATAAATTATTGTTATTGAGAGGCAACCCTGGCATAGAGGACGCAAGCGGGGAAGGAATACCTACGATTAAAAGATGGAAACAAGCCAGGCACATGAAAGATATATTTTGGAAAAGATGGTTTAAGGAGTATGTTCTAACATTGCAGACCAGGGACAAGTGGAAAAAGTTGTGCCGAAACTTAAAGGTTGGTGACATAGTATTAGTAGCAGATAAATGTGCCACAGGTAGGTGGCCTTTGGGAGTGGTAGTAAGGCTGATCTGTAGTGGTGATGGATTGGTGAGGACGGTTGAGGTGAGAACTAGTTGTGGCATGTTGGTGCGAGATATCAGAAAACTGTGTCTCCTGGAAGGTGCTGAGAGTAGAGAGTCGGAGGATGAAACAATAGATGATTTTCCAACCTAGAGCGTCAACCTGAGAAGGGTTGTAGGCGTACTGCTGTAAGTCCTACAATTCTTCAAAGGGTAGCGCATCAATGAGCAGTCTAATGTGCTCGGTGTGTGATTTTGTACATATGTTCATATTGTATATACTGAATTGATATCATCTGTCATCTAGCTGTTGGTAATTCTGTTTGTGTCCGGACATTCCACAACTTACAATGGTCAACCTGTGAAGGTTTGTAGGCGTACTGGTGTAAGTCCTGCAATTCTTCAAGGGTATTCCATCAAGACATGAAATGCGAGTTTGTGTGTACTGTTTGTATATACGTGTGGTGTGTCATATCAATTGGTGTTTTTGAATTCATTGTGTTTACTCGTTGTTTTCGTACCTTGTTGTTATTGCATAATTTTGTTAAAATTTTCGTCGTGATTACTTCTGAAGTTGTTTCCAGTCTTCTACATCCGTGAATGAATTGATTGATGTTAAGGACAGCAGATGGGTCGTATACGCCGGGGAGGCTAGGCTATTGCTGAGAATGAAATGCACACGGAGATAATTGTTAGCTGCGGTCCGACACGCCGGGGAGAAAGAGTGTAAACGACTGAGGCTCGCATGCGTCACCGCTACTAGAACTGAGGCAGAATGAGTGACAAGCGATTTCAGTGGTAATTGGTAGTGAGTAGATAAGAGGATGTGCGTAGAGTATCGTGAGGTGCTGCTATGGTCACGTTGCATTCTGCAAGAGTCATTCTAGCAAGTGGCGATTGTGTTGCAAGATGTCAAGAGGAGGTCTCTGTCTGGAGGCGCAGGTCGTCATTGATGTGTGAGATTGTGCTGTGGGTATGCTTGTGGTGTGTTGGCTTTTCTGTTTGTTTTCCATTTCAGCTCTGTCCGTGTGACCCAGGTTCTCGCAATGGCATCCAAGTCAACGTGCATTGGTCGTGAAGGAAAAAAGGGTTGGATCCCTTTTTTGCCGGGGAGTGTCAATGGAGTTGAAGATTGAACGATCAATTCTTGGTTGTTTGCTCAAAATCAACTTCCCCAATTTTCGCGGAGGCATCAATACGACAGTCATCGTCTCATCGGTCGCTGTTCAGAAAGAAGAGTGAAACATCGTCAGAAGTAATACAGAGATTTATTATTGTAATATTTGTTTTCAGACCTTAGTTCTTAGTTCGCTTATTCCTTTTATATGTTGGTGTAACAATAAACAAATATCAAACGGCAGATCGGTGTTTTGGTTTTTGCGTCCGTTATAACTAAGCGTTTCTGAGAAATCTTCTAAGAACAGCGTGGGCCCGAGCGTAGCGAGAGCTGGGCATTAACGGTTTATGAGACTTTGCTGACACCCCACATGGCCTCCAATCATGATCAGCTTTAGGCACCATGTGTAAGGGTGAAGACCAAGGACTATTGGAGGGTCTGATGATGCCGAGCTGCATCATGTGTTCAAATTCTGCCTTGGCTGCTGCTAACTTGTCCGGGGGTAATCTACGAGGACGAGCACGAACCGGTTGACCCGTGGTAACATTCTTGTGAGTGACTGTATGAGGGACGTCCTCGATGTTGTACGACGGCTTAAGTATTTTAGGGAAACTTGATGGACATTTCTAGGTAAACGTTGCAACCACATCTGTTTCAACACTACCTCGTCTACTTGATGGTGTCCGATTAACTGGCTCATGTGCCTGAGGAGCTGGGATGGCTTATGTGGGCCTAGTGCACAGCCCGTGGGTAACTGTTGGATTCTTTTCTCATCTGATATACTGGTGCGTTGCATAAGGAGGGTTTTAAGTTTGTCAAATTGGTTTTCCGTCGGGGGATTTTCTATGAAGTCGCTGATTTCTGTCAATACTGACGGAGGGAGTTCTGCCAGCACTACAACATATTTGGCTATCTGAGTCTTAGTGCCCCGTGCTTCTAGCAACGGCTCAATTACTGCAAACCAAATCCTGGGCTCTACGAAACCGTATTGAGGTAAACGGAAATCACTGATGGCATTTATCGTGGCATTTGTCGCGTTACTAGTTGTCTGCTCGGTTGATGTACCGGACTAAGGTGACGACATTATAGATATGAGAATGTTTGCGCGAAATAGGATACAAATATAAGGCCACACACAAAATCACAATGAATATACAAAATGGCAAAAATAAGAAAATGAATGTGTCAAAATAATCCGTGTCCTAAACGCCCTCACCAATTGTTTCGGTAGGTCTTAGAGCCTGTTAGCTGAGTATCCAAAACTTCGATAGAAAATAAATACCAAATCAGTTAAGTTACCGGAAGAATATATTGAATTTTTGTTACTTGGGTATTTACAAGGTCCAAAATCCACAATTTACGTAACAGACTGCTGAGGTATTGCAAAGAGACTGCTCCAATACTAATTCTCCAATGTTGGTGTTGCCAGGGGTCGACCAAAGTACGTAGGAAGAAACTACGGTGCTCCTGCGAAAATTTGAGATAGAAAGCAGGTGATCAGAATTGATCGATGGCAGTTGAAATGGTGGAGAAGACGGAGAGACGAAGGCAGAACTATATTTCCCTTCAAAAGCGAGGTAAAGTTCAAAGTATAGAGATTATGATTAAAACAAAGTAATGTACAATATGTTCATTTCTTACATAGTAGTAAAAATTGGATAAGTTTATTTTTGAGGACTCCATACATACAGTTTGACAACTTGGATTGGTGCTCGTAAGTGCAAAGTTCTACATGGAAAACACCCAGTCACTCAGTACTGTTTATGGTTGCTACTTAAGTCATTAGTAGTTTCATCTTGAGATTCTTCATCACAATCAAACCTCTTCTGAGCGTCTCGATTAGAATAGAGGTATAAAGATTGATGTTTGTCTGTCCGGATTGAACATAGATCTAGGCACCGAAGTGCGGCAGTTCGAGTCGGCACGTTCCAATTAGCACACAGGTTGGTGAATATTTACTAACTGGTTACAGTTGGTTGACTGTCTTTCACACTGCTGTAAATCTTGATTTAGAATTGTTTGTTCTTCGGAAGGTGTAGGTTGCATAATTTAAATACTGGTTGTCAAAGAGAAATACTTTGCCACCACTCCACTTCTGTTCAGCAGGTATTACTTCTTTATATAGGAAACTGTTTTATACCAGAATTATTCACATAAACAGTAGCCGCTTCTCAACTATCTCACTGTCGTTACACAGTTGTTCCGAAAAGTTATTCTAGATTGTGACAAGTCTAATTACGTCATGTGATTAGCTAATGATCAGCGATATTACTTCGACATTTGACCGCTGTGTGCATCCGTCTACTTGCTTTAATTCATTTTTTCATAATCTAAAACTAATGTTTGTCTCTTTGCTTTTATCACTTTGGCTCTACTGAAGCAATTTAACACTACTATGCCAGAACAGTCTTCTTTCGTCCATATAATCGGCTATTCCATCAGGTTTTTTTTCTCTGACGCTTTTCAATGGTGTTTTTACCTGGAGAAATGTGTATAACATTAGCATAAATGAGTTTGTTTTTCTTTTGCAGGTTTCGTTGTAGTGTGTGAATGTCAGTACGAGAACATGAGCACTTCGTTGCTCACTAAATTGCATGAATATTTCGGCTGCACGGTCTTGGATTCTTGTTTTTGCAAAGATGTCTTTCTTGAACAGGTGGCGTATTTCTTGCAAACTTCTGCTTTAATCCCACATTTCGTAACGCTATCTGAGAAATGTAATTCTTCAGAAAGCATATCCAGTGTTAACTTATATCATCCTCTTAACGATGACAGTGATCACCTTAGATTGCTTCGCTTGTTAATAAAGTTAAGCGAAGATCTTCACAACCAATTAACCAGTTATCTAGAGCCGTTTTGTGATTCAGATTTTCAGATTTTGATGAATGACGGTATGATATTCAGTGAAATACAGGATGTTGTTGCATCTTTACTAATTTCTATTGATGCTGAAGTTTTATTGCAGCCTTTATGGTACACATATTTGTGTTTGGAGCTTGAATCGGCTGAGGCTGATACTGAAGAATCTAACATATTTTCTACTGTTATATGTCCAGATGTTACAGGCGAAAAAATGCAGGTGTTATCATTGGCCAGGAATTTTACGCATAACAATTCTCTTGTCAATTGGAATAATTTATATCGCCGCCTGTGTATACCATATACGAAAGAGGCTTTATTATACAGAACAAAGTTATTGTGTTCTGAAAACTATTCTGAACGCTTTCTGAGTTCAATTATTAAATATAAAGATTGTATACTGAAGGAAGTCTTCCTGCCTAGATTATTTTCTAGTAAATGTGATACACTTGATATCAGTCTCGAACTGTCAGATGTAGTTGTCTATTCAGCATTTTATTCGGTTCACAAACCAGATATGTTTTCTCTAGTCATTGAATACCCAGACTCTGTCGCTGCTCTTATGGATCTAGGAAAATGTTTAGATCACCTACCAGTACGTCAAGATTTGATAGCTCATCTTACTAAAGAGGTAAGTAGACTTATCATACCTTAAAGATGTGTTTTTGCATAGTTTAATTGTCTGGTAAAATGGTGTTTTTAACATACTTTAATGCAATGTGATTTAGTGGTAGAATACTGTCCAACTATGTAAGTAATTCGGGATTCGATCCCCGGCCGCCACACTCCTAAACCTCGCCTAGCTGGTAGTAAGCCTGGTAGAGATAGAAGCTTCGATGTGTGATTAGCAGCTCTATCTTTTAAAGAAAGAAAATAAAACTCACATTTCTGCTACTGAAACTTCAAAGCTCAAGCTTGAAGCAAAGAAATAAATGGATTATTATTGATGCAGTTAACTGGTAATAGTGTGGTGGCATTATATAAAAATGTAGAACGGTTCCAGAGAGTCAGGAATATGAACTAAGGTGCTAACCGTTACGTATTTTATTCAATTAAATGTTTAAGAAATCTGAATAGTGTGAAAATAAAATGTTACAACCCTGAAAGCGGGAAGTGACTTAAGAAAATGTGAGTATATTATGAGGGGAAGTGAATAACTAGGTAATGATCAGTGGATTAATTTGAACGAGGCGATAACAGCATATAGAACAGTATAGAACGGATCTCTTCTTTATTTCCTTGGTATCTTCTCAACTGTATTCAGCTTGAATAGAGAGTCATAATTGTTTTAATTATTACAATTTTAACGTACTTTTCATTGCTGGAAATAAAATTTTGTAACAGTAATCAGTCAACTAGTTAATTAATTAATCATTTAATAATTCCCATTGTAACACTAAGAACACAGTATTCAGCGTAGAGACTTTTCAACGAATTTATTATCAAGCTGTACAATCATATATACTAAGCCTCCAAAGCCTCAGGATGGTCGGGGGTGGGTGTCTTGCGCTGCGGGTTGGCCACCCCTCCGTACACCTCTTGAAATGCTCCCATATGACCGGGCGTCTTACATAGCCTCTCCTGAGGAAGTCCTACTCACTGCCTTCACGTGGCGGAGGTGTTTTTCACCAAAGTGAGGGGGCAAAAGCGGATGCCCGGCGCTCTTCACCGGGTTGACTGTCCATTGGATGACAGTCTAGGGGAGATGGCTAAACCCTGATTCCAAACCTCCAACGACTGGCGTATGAAGCTCACCGGAGCTCACCGGCACACGTATGGACAAAGGGCTTATTGGATGCCCTGGATGACTGGCCCCATTCAAAAAGGCGTATGAACCGGACTCCGGTCACCGGCTGCCAATGGATAGTGGACTCCCTACTCCACTCCTACTGCCTTGTAGGTCACACTTGGTTGTGTAAAGGCTAGAGCTGCACTCTCAAACAAAAGGCCGAGCGATGCTGGGGACATCACTCGTACCCAATTCCCATGAAACTTCATGGTTCATGAAGCCGGCTCATCCTCCCGTAGGAGATAGCCGAAGTAAAGTAAAGTAAGTATATACTAACCCTATAATTATACACCCGTATCCACTCGTTATTCAAGAGTTTTGCGGAAGATATCACTCACTAGTGCATGTCAGGCTTCTTCCTAGCTTCGTTAAGCATGCGAGGCAAGTTTTTGTTCGGCTGTGCTGTTACTATAGAGTGTAAATCACGCATTCCCTTGACAAGTGATTAGATCCGCTAACATTAAGGTTTACTGTTGCCACTAGTTCTGTTACAAAGTTCGTTCACTTGGAATTTGTAGGACTTAAGTTTGAATACCTTAAAGGGTATAATGGTGATCATCAGTATGGTGTGTGTTTATCTAATTTTCGATGTTGTGATTGTATCATTATCATTACTATTAGTTTTATTTTCCAGATTCGGCACAGACTGTTGCATCCTGGTGTTCATACAGAACAAATTTTGGCTGCTTATAACTACCTAGTACGCGCTTTACGTTTGATTGATAACACATTCCTGGTGCAAGATATTGTTTGCGAACCGGTTTCGGCGTGTCTTCGACAAAGAGAAGATGCTGTTCGTTGTATAGTAGATAAACTTATTTCGGGTCCCGAATCAGATACTGGAGATGATGAGGTGAAAACTGAAGAGTATGCTGATACAACTACAGAACTTCATCAAGAGTTGTTATTACCAAAGCCATTAGAAGTGGAATCGTTAGATGGTGGTGAAGAAAGTGACACTGACATTGTGTTCGAAGGTTAGCCAACGTATTTTGTGTTCATGCCTGATTTTCGTCTACTTGTGCAAAACGCAGATTTTGTGCATCATGCGTTTCAGATATTTTGCCATAATCTGAGTCTTATTGGAGAAAGACATAAGCGAACAATATTGTTTTCAATTAGATCTTCAGGCTTTACTCTAATTTACATAGACTTATATATATAAAATTCTAACCAATGACGGTGATTTTGTGGATCAAATAATAATAATCATAATAATAATAATGTGGTAAATGTTTTGAACGAAGTTAATAACGATGATTATAATAATAACAAAATATTGATAATAAGTCTTATATAGGTGATAAGAATAACAAAGTTAGTATATGCATATATGTAGACAATTCAATAAATAGATAAATTAGGTCAAATCAAATGGAACGATAATCAGAGTTTAAATAAATATCATAAAAGTACGAAGGAGAGGGATGATAAGAAAGGGTGGGAGGGTTTTGAATAGAATTCATCTAGGCCAAGAGAGAAACAAAGGTAGAACAAATTTCTTTTGTATACAAAGACTAGGATGGCTTTATTGGAAAATTGAGAAACTGTTCTGAATAAAAATGAGTTCAACAAAAGCGGAATTTAATTAAATCACTTGCCCACCTGCATCCGACGCATCTGTAGTCCCGACGTTCTGGAAACAGAATTAGATATTATAGGAGAAATCTTCATCCAAAGTGGATACCCAATAAGATTCATCGACAAAAATATTAAACCAAGAATTCGGAGAAACAAAACTTTAATTGCGTCTAAAAGGAAACTCTACACGAATTTGGATTTCAAGGGAGATTTAGCAAGCGATATTCTCAAGAAAAGGATCACATCGTCTCTGAAAAGAACATTCTATGCAGCAACGCTAAGAATAGTGTTCTCCAGTCGCCCACTGATCTGCAGAAGCCTCAAGGACAAGATCTCGCATCTGACCACTTCTGTGTGCATATATCAGTTCACCTGCTGCTATGGAGTCAGGTACATCGGTCATTCGACGCGCACCCTGTCCAGGAGGATTCAAAAACACTATCCAGTATGGTTGCGAAAAGACAATAGTGGTGCAATAAGGAGTGCGATAATTGAACACCTGTTTAACACTGATCATTCCATTTCAACAAACGCCTCCTTCAAAGTAATCTACAGAGTCAAGAATAACCTATCAAAGGATATACGGTTTCGTCTTCTTTGTATTGCTGAAGCTCTGGCCATTCACATCGAAAAACCGGAGCTGTGCATACAAAAGGAGATAACTCCAACCACTTCTACTGTCATGGTAAAAACTTTTTTGTTTTGATTTTATTTGAGTTTTTTTTATTTTGACTGCTTAATTTTGTTTCTTTGCCTGTCCTTTAATTGCTTATAATTCTTGTATTCATTTAGAACTCTTACGTAATTTTGTATTATCTACTTTGTTCCTGTGTGCATCCTGAGTAAAACTCACTCATCAAACTATTCATATTATTACATGACTTCTTTTAACAACTGTTTGTGACAACTCATTACTTTTGATACTACCCTAATTTCATTAACACCTAATTTTCTTGACTTGAATTACCGATCTTCACCTGTTTAGTTAAAATAACTATAACCAGTTGTAATTTTGTTTGAAAAACTTAATGTACACATACATACAAAATAAGACATATATATGCGATTGTACAGCTAAGAAAATGAATTCGCCGAAAAGAGTCTCTTCGCTGATCTACGTGTTTTGTTTTCATTAATGCCTGAATGGGGATTATTCATGAATTAAAAATGAGTTCAAAAAGTCTATGGTGAATATACTTGGTTGAATAAAGTCCTAATGGTTTGACTTAATACCTAAGACTTGTGATCTCAGAAGAATATGTGGTAATATTGCAACTGATGTGCCAGTGTTGTGCTGTTAGAACTTCAGATGACTTCAAAATCAGCCCCGACTATTTCCATCACTTTGTGTATCGAGTAGAGCATAGAGCTTCAAGCTTCAGCTTTGAATTTTCACTAGGGATGGTGTTTTAAGTAACGGATAGAATTTCTGGCCTTACGCCAAACCTCCCCTCTCTACCACCAAGCTTATTACTACTGGCTAAGTAAGATTTAGGAGTGCGTCGGCCGAGAATCGAACCTTGACCACGTGCATGATTCGTGAGCATTCTACCAATGGACTACTGACTCAGGTTGTCATTTGTCTAAATATTCAGCAATAGTAATCCACTGAATTTAAAGTCGTTCGAAACTTAGACTTACTATCTCTTAGTAATTGAAGCATGGATTAAATTATATAACTGATTGAATGACTCTGGAACATGGCATTTCTCGCAGATTAAATCATTCGCGTAACATCAGAAAGGCACAAATAAAGGAGATGTAATTAAACTACAGTGGACGAAGATGTATGGGAAGATGGTAAGTAAATAAATGAAGATTAATGAATCTGGACGATACAAAATTGTGTGTACATCTGTACCAGTCTTCTCATATTAATTCTTAGCAACTTGAGGACTTTTAACGCGAAGTCTCTGGCTAATTACGTAGCTCAAATTAATAGTCAATGCCTTCATGGGTTGTGGGGATGTTCTCACCTTTTCTTGCTTACTTTGATTTCAGTTAACAATGCCCATTGAGGTAGGCGATGACTCAGAGTATGTAAGACTTATGTTGCAGAAGCTGTCTCTAGTGTAAAAAGAAGTAAGGCATCAGGACCTGACGGTAACACGCCAGACGGCTATAAGAATGGTGGTGCTTAAATTAACTCAGGCGCTAGATAGTTAATTGAAATTCGACATCCAACATCTAACTGGCCTAGATCGTTGATAAAAGGTGAAGAATGAATCTCCCGTTGATAACCACAGGCGGATAAGCCTGATTAATATAATATTTGAGACACTAGGAGTCATATCCTTGTGAAGATTAATCAGTGCTCGGGAAAATCAGGAGGTCTTTGGTTGTGGATGAGGATATATTGATCATACCTTCATCCATCGACAGGTTCTGGAATATGCGCCTACTTTCCCTAGTCCAACACTTGCCGTTTTCCCTGATCTGAGAGCAAAATCACACCATCCGTTGAGACGCACTCTGACAATGTCTCACTGCCAAGGGAGTGCCAAGAATGTACATTGTACTAAGTAAAGTACTCCGACCGAACACATGGAATCATGTAAGAGTTTGATAAGAGCCGATGTCTGCAGTGACGACGATCAATGGTATGTATCAGCCATGTTGACTATCTTGGTTATTATTGAATTTCATTATTGACAGAGATGATTATAGCTGATTTCTACATCTCAAAGTTTCACTTGTTATCAAGGAAGTCTTCTTGATATGAAACGCATAGATGAAGTATTTTCCTTCTACTTGAAGATGTTGGCAAAACACAGAGTCATCTGAACAACTTGAGGAAAAATCTTGGTATGTTTGACACTCCATTCGCCCCTGTCAAATGTAAAATAATTGTGCAGGATTCGTGAATACCATATCATAGTGTGTGAAGTGTTTGAGCCTGTTGACCTTATTACTTCATTAGGAAGCTGCAGCAGCTCCGATGCACTGAGTGTTCGTGATGACTCATCATGGATACGAAAGGCTCGTTGGACACTGGCCATTTTGCGATATCTGGCTATCGAGGAGAAGAATTGTGTGTGGACTGCTCCATCCTTTTTACGGCTGTGGAATATGGCTATTCAAAATGGAAGATGAGAACAGGCTAATAGTCCTGACTATAAGTGTGTGTTCATTTTTTCTTATTAGATGGCATAAAATATGATGCGTAATATTGAGGTCGAACGTGGAGTGTTGAGTAAAGAGGGGAAGTCACTCGATAAGGTTTAAGGTGTTACTTCAGTTAGGATGCCTAACACGTGTCATCCCTGTGAAACCAGTTCAGGCGAAATATCATTAGGGTCGAAAAGAGTTAGGGGGGTTGGTCAGACCAAGACGTGGAATCAATCGATGAAGTGCTTGACTGTTGGTTTAAGTCAACTACTGATGGAGGTGTAGACTACTGCTCGGATGATATCTTTGGGACTCTAAGGGCCAATATCTGGGGAGTGTTGTTGGCATTTTGGCTTGAAGTCGTTTTCAGTGGCTCAGGTACATTCATTTATTGTAGTTTCCCATACTTTTACTAAATACTCATTACCCCGCATACATCTATTTTTACTCCTATACATTTCCAGTTGTGATAAAGACAAATTATGAAACTGTGTGAATAAACTGATATGATTATGAGTAGCAGTAATTTATGCTCAAAACGTCATCCATTTGTTAATACTGCAACATCACTGTGTGTCATTTCAAATAAACTTATCTAGTATAGAATTGCATCCTACTACTACTACACACTTACATCAATTTGTTTCTGTCAGCTCTCAACAGAATGATTTAATGTCAGCATTGTGCAGACTTGTTAAGTGATTTCGTTAAAACGAAAAAGTGTGTCACTTTCTTTTTGATCTACATTATCTGTCATTTCCTGTCTATGCCGTCCTTTGTTTTCATGCATCGTAGATCCTCCTTTCGACTCAGAAGTAGATACGGTTAATCTATCGAATAAGAATTTTGTTTGGGATAATGATTGGAAAGCTGATCCAATAGAGGCTTTATATCAAGGTGGTGGATCATGGCGTCGAAAATTGGATCTTCTCAGCATGTTAGTTAGCATTTATGGGAGTAAGAAAGCCTTCTTGGTTGAGTATAAACAGTTGCTGAGTCAACGTCTATTGAGGCAAAGAAGTTTTCATACAACCAGAGAATTAAGAAATTTGGAGTTGTTAAAACTTCGTTTCGGTGAACAGAATTTACATGAATGTGAGGTAAGCGGTGTGATTTAGTTGCCTTTTTATATACTAACTGTAAAATCATGGAAAATTCCTATTGTAGCATATAGAAAATCAAAACAAGTGGGATTCAGCGAAGAGACTCTTTTCAACGACGAATTTATCATCAAGCTGCACAATTGTATATATATGGCCTTTTTAAAAAGTTATATCCGGTGAGGGAATTGAACTGAATCATAGGTGTGAATACATAAAATAATAATAATAGTAGTATGAAATTCAATTAAAACTAAAACGTTTGTGATTATAATCATAGTTAAATGTCAAGTGGCAAAACAAATTCATGTCATATATAGAATAATTCATAAGATGGATAGAACTTGAAAAAAGGGTGTGCAATTATAGGATTAGTAGACAAATCGAATAAAATAAAAACGTTACGTAATACTGTATGAAATTTGATAGCATAGAATTTAACGTTGTAAAAAAGAAGAATTGATTTAGAATGACAAGTGGAACAAGTGAAATAATAATACCGGGCACAGTTCAAAGTGACGTAATAAGGAAGAGACTACAAACTGAATAGACAAAATGAAGAAAATGAAAAATTGGTAGAGCCAAAATATGATTGGGGATTACCATACTTTAGCAAAGAGGGATTAAGACCATGAAAGTTGGAGGGGTTGAACGAATTTTTTCTGTACACAGAGATCTGGCTTTTCTGTTTCGATAGCCAAAGCTTCAGCATTACAGATGAGTCGGGTGCGTAGGGATTCGAATAAATTACTCTTTGCCTTGTAGATGACTTTAAAGGCGGAGGCTATAGAGATAGGGTGATCATTATCGACCAGATGTTCAATGATCGCGCAAGTATAAAATAGTTACTGGTGGTGAGGGATTCTCATGTCTGTTTTTCTCTTCCCACTTTTCCTAGGTTATGTTGAAAGATATTCGGGACTCGAAGCGAATCGCCAGCCTAGTGTCCGAATCTGCTGCCTCTGCTAGCTCAAAGGGAAAGCACACAGAACAAACAGACAAATTAAACAGCCCTGGTTCTGTGACTGTCACTTCTAACAGTAATACAACAACAACAACAGATTCGGATAATATTCAGAATAAAGATTCTGTCTCAGACATCAAAACACTGCCAACAGTTGTATCAGCCTCTGGTAGTATTACTACCGTTGCTAGTCCTTCAAACAAAAATATTATCTTTCCGTTGTCTGCTTATATTCTGTCAATACACTATTGGCCAGAATTACTCGATGTTAGTTTTAAAGTACCGGAGGCTTTTCGTCCTGTATTTGAACATTATGAAAAGTAAGTGATCGATATATTACCGGTTTCACAGGCATACTCCCAATTTAAGCTTTTTTAGGTCTTGAAATGTTTATGTCTTCTGTGGATTCTTGTTTCAGGGCTTAACACGTGATATTGACTGAAAGTCATACATTTCACAGAATATTATGTGATCCAATAAACTGGTTAGGTCTCCGTTGGCTGGAGCAGATTTTTCATGTATCAGGCTATACTATGAGTCACACGATCCTAATCAGTTGTTAAGGTTGAAATAAGCGAAACAAAAAATGAACCCAGGTGTCCATTAAACTGAAAGCTGAGTGGATGATGTCATATGCTAGTATAAAGATGGATTAATTGGTAGAAGTTTTCATCAGCCACACTAGTGTTCCATTCATATGTGTGTAAAACTTAGGCACTGTGGTGGCATGTAATTCCTATATTTATTTGTTTATTAGATGTGTGACACGCACTTATTGGGACAGTATAATTTGGTGTGTGACCTTCCTTTCTATCACACAATTTATTATTTTTTTTAATCATATCAATATATCCAATAAACAAGTTAATACAGTGTTCCATTCCTTTTGAAGTTAGTTTTACTTCGCTATTAGGTTAGTGGGGACTAGAAGTGGAGTGGAGTGCATCGTATTTCAGAGTCGTCAACTGAATGCACTTGCATTCCAGTGAATGGTGGTGGTGTTCCCATCAAACCAATAGCCGGGTGTTCTGTAGTTCGCCTCAGAACTGACTAAACTATTACGGTGTATGTATTTGTGTGCGTTTGGCAAAGTTCATCAAGATAACCAGTATAATTCTTTTGGTAGAGATGTGATGGTATGTAGTTTCTCATTTTGACTAACAGTACCCTATCGTCTGCTTTATTTACCTTACCTTCAAATTGTGAGTATTTAATTGTACATGTACACTGAAAATATGTACATTTTGAGTGTGCAGGCTGATTCTTCTCCATTAGGGTTGTTAATCAACAGTGTTTTATACCCTCTCTTGTAGGCAGGTTAGTTTTCTGTTACAGAGTAATCATATTGTGTTGTTTCTTTTTTCCAACGCATTATCAAGTGTCCAGCTGACTTTACGTCTTGTCCAAGGCATCTTTCACAATGGTGTGTTGTATCATTTTTATCTCACATTTATTTTGTTTTTGTTTTTTTTTAAAAAAAAAAGAACAACTCTTGTGAAAGTCTACCTATGGAAACACTTTTCCTCACTGTAACCTTTTACTTTTCAGATAAACAAATCTAACCACATTTACTTATAAATTGTGTGATGGGTTAAAATCTCTACCTATAGATGCTGACTACATTGACTCCTAGTTTATAAATAGGGAGTAAAATGGTAGAGCACATTGACCACTTCACTTATTTGGGAAGTTGCATCAGCCAACTCCACCGGGTTGATCTCTGACGAAATCTCAGCACGGATACAGTTTACGCCGTCTCTGGCTTAGTAGACGTGATATCCGGCTGGCTATCGACCAAAGGGCGGGTGTACTGCTCAGTAGTCCGCTCTGTCCTCCTTTATGGCTAGCTGTGAGACCTGGCCATTAAGAGTGGAGGACATAAAAAGCCTGGCTAGCTGCCTTTGATCATAGATGTCTCCGTTCTATCTCCCATGTGAAGTGGTATAATAGGGTGGGCAGTATTGAGGTTAGGCATCGAATGCTAGGTAAGGAGGGAAAATCAATCGACGAGGCTGTGAAGCAGTTACATCGAGTGAGATGGTTAGGACATGTATGCCTGGTCATCGCCTTCCTCGACAATGGGCTGGGAAAGGACTAGTGGCGGTCAAACCAAAACATGGCTTCATCAGTCAATGAAATCCGCAACAGTTAGTTTAAGCCAGCTAATCACGTAGGGAGTTGTAGACTTCCTGATTAGCGTCCTCGGGGCGGTAAAAACCAAGGACTGGAGACAACTGGTGATATGGCTGGCTGAAAATCATCGTTCTCAGTTATGACTGACTGGTGCACATGCATCCACTCCTTGTGACTTATAATGCTCAATAAAACTATATTGTTCTTCGATATTAGTATTCTTTTTGTCTCATATCTATGTTTACTGTCTCTATTTTGCATTCCTTTCTACTTTCTTCTCTTGCTGTGTGTGTTATATGGAGTGTGGTGACTTGAACTGCTACACATCGGTGCAAAGTTCTATGTGGAACCCAGTCAGTCAGAGATGCTGAACTGTTTTACCTGTCGCGATTGTATCATAATTTAGTTTATTGTTTTTCTCCTCTAATGACTACTTGCTATATACAGCATGTTACATACATGTCATGTTGATATGTTTATTGGATATAACACACAAAGTGAAACAGCATTATTTACCGGATGACCTTTCAAACACACTTTGTTGTTTATAGTCAATCATATCAACTGTTGGGTTAGAAATGTCATCCAATAAATATTACCGTTTCATTGTATATGTCTCATATCCAGTAGACAAAGACAGTATAATACCAGAGAGTCTGTCCAAGTTGTGCACATACTAATTTGGTTTACGTCGCACTTAGTTTAACAGTTTGGCTATTCAGACTTTTTAGTAACCTAGTTGAGCTAGGTTGTAGTGGTGAGAGACAGACCTGATGTAGCAACAACTGACCCAATGATGATAAATAGTCTGATGTGGGTGTTTCTGCTTATCTAGTTTCGGTTGTGGAAAACGTAATTTTACTGAGTAAAACCAATGAGTAATATATAATATTAGGAAGAAGAGAATACGAAGTTCAGCAAAGATATCTTTTCGTTGATTTCATTTTCAAAAGCTATACAATCGCATTTAAATACATTGCGTAGATACAATTTTTACTTGATTCCATATAATTTCGAAGGCGAATAAAAAGTGACAATTATTTTCAACTGGATATGGTTTACAAGAGAGGCTTAGAAACAAAATTACACAGGATTAGAACGAATTACAAGTGTGTGAAAAAAGAGCATGGAAACAGATTGAAATAATTTTCAACACCAGCTACGCCAGGTGCCGACGCCACAGGGTCCCCGGACAAGCGCAGGTGGTACATACTACTAGAAATTTCAGATGGAGAGGATGATCGAAGCACATCAATGGGATCTTGAATGCGGGTCTTCAAAATCCAGCAGATATAGATAGCGAGGCTTTCCTATGTTCTTACCAACCCTGCCTGTTGTCCAATTCACATCAGCGTCCGAACATTGTAGGTGGCAAGCTTGAACATGACACATGGTTTCAGGATATCTGTGTTCGGTGCCGCACTGGGGACAACCATCTCGAAGGCTTCTCACTGATATCTCGAAACGGCATATATAGACGGAGAATTCGAATAAAGGCAAAAGGCTTACGAAAGTGAAGACACCAAGGATAACAAAAGTAGAACACAATAGTGTATGTGTAAAAATAAAAGTAGAGTTGAAAAGAGATGCGTCACTTGAAACATCATTATTGTTCGAGGGCATTGTAATGAAGGTGCGATTATTTTTACTGGCAGTTTGTGGTTTCGTTTCATTAGTTGTGTATGGGTTTTGATAATATCTGGACGCCCAGACCAAAGCAGGTGGTTGTTTAAAGAGGTCACCCTACCCAGCATTTGATGTGATGTCTAATCCGCAAGGCAGCGGAGCAGTATCTGGAGCTACATTCCCATTGGTTGTTAGAGACCAATACAGATTCATACGCCATTCGATCCGATTGGATTCTGGATCCCATGTACCCCATAGTTACTGCTTCGAGTCTGACCGCTATCCAGAAAACTTTTCTGATATGATAGGACCTGTAGGAACATGAGTCCCAGCCAGTTTAGCTTGTTGGTTCACTGCGGTATTCAAGTCCGGCCACTACGAGAAGGTAGCATTTGTCGTCCGGGATCCATGAATAGAGTTGTTCTAAACACATTTCTACCATAAATAAAGTTTTATAACAAAACCAGCCTTCATTAAGGAATGTGAAGTAGCTCACTGTAGCGAATGACTCATTTACCCAACATACATTATGTGGGTGTTGTCAAGTCGTTGAGTGGAATAACTTTGAGATTTGGCGTGAAATGGGATCAGAAATGCGATATTCTCCTTCACTAGGAAAACAACTTCTGGTCGACAATGGTGTCATGTAGGAATTGTTGGTTTGTATATGCGGCTTTTATATACTGGGAGTTTGCATCACCGACATAATGCAACGGTCCTGTGTCATACATATGACGGTGAAATACAGGATCTATATAAACTCTCTTAGCTTGAAGTGTAAGGCATAACTGTAGTCGCATTGGCGATACGCGATAGATGGATAGAGACTGAAAAAAATAGATTTGAGAGGATAATAGTTCAATGAAGGTGTTTGTAATTTTCGAGATGATAAAGACTCAATACGTTTGTGCTATTGTGGTAACTTAACGCCTTGGCACCGTGACTTTCTAACCATTGATTTATTTTCTCATCCTCAGGACTCCAGGCCTCCTACTTACATTATGTCATAATAAGATAGACTAGCAGTTAATGAATGCCTTCGTCTACTGATGTCATTTGTTGGTGTAACCGCATTCTAAATTTTCTAATTAACTCTTGTCTACTGGGAGTAAGGTGGTGTAACTTGCGGTTACACGGGCACCCTTTCCTCAGTTTCCATGACGTTATATTCAAAACTGTGTGGTTGATTTCAATCTCGTCTCGTTGATTTCAAACAGTAGTGGTTTAAGGAAGATGTAAGATATCACGGTAATGATTGTTGTGCCGGAAGTAGACGCTGTAGATCAAGATGCCTGATAAGTTATCTGTAAGTACTTAGCAGTTTCCTCTGATGACTTTGAAGACTTCATTGAGGCTAGACGTCTGATATGTCCACCCAATCCCCTCCAGTAGCACTGTGATACCTATTGAGTGCTGTCTTAGTCAAAGGTTGAACCCATAATCAGTTTCATCCAGATTGCAACAGTGCGCTTCTGTTTTCAATTTCTCTCATTGACTTGGATCTTCCAGTTGATTACCTTGTTAATGACTATCTCGATTAGTATGACTTCCATTGCAACGCTTTTGCGACACCAACGTCAGCTAGGTTAATCATCAGTGTGATAAGTCCTTCAAACAAGCACACATTGATCTTTTTGAGGGTGTAGAGCATACTACAGTAAGTAAGAGAGTGCATACTATTCCACTGTATAGCTGCAAAACATTGCTGCACTTTTTGTGCAATATTCTATGCGGATAATTCAGTCAGAAACATGACCATCAAGGTTAAAAGTTGTACACAAACTTTAGGTATATCTTGCCGTTGTAGGCATATTTCACTTAGAAGGAATATTATCATTTAAGTGAAACTGGAAGTTAGTCGAGTAAATGTTAATAAGTCCTTCAGTACTGGTGTGGCGTTAGTCGACTTAGGTTATATCTGGCGTAGACGTGATATCCGGCTATCCAACAAAGGATGTATGTGTGTGTGCAGTACTCAGCGGTTCACTCTGTTCTTTTTTTATGGCTTATGGGACATGGTCATAGAGAGTGGAAGACACGAAAGTGCTAGCTTCCTTCGATCACAGATGTTTGTATTCTATTCCCATGTAAAGTGGTGTATTATAGTAAGTAGTATTGCGGTTGAGCATGGAATGCTCATAGAATGGTTGTAGACTATTAGTGAGATTGCTAAAAATCATTCTCAGTAACACAGGTGCATTTACACTTAGTGATCTCCTATATCCACTGAACCCTCGCGTTTTTCCCTGTCATTATTGTGTCTCCTGTACCTTTCTGGTCATTATTGTTCTTTTGAATCTCTTTTTTCTCCCGGATGTTTTCCCCACGTTTTTCTGCTTGCTACATGGAGTGTGGGGCAACATTTGTGCTATTGCAAATTATGCAAAGTTGTATGTTGAAATTCAAACACAAAGTTGAGTTAAACTGTGTTCAGTTAAGTATTGAAGTACAGGTAAAACGAACACACAATTAGAAGTTGTTTTCTATTATTGCCTGCGTTTTAGATGTTTCCAGTGTCACAAAGGCAATAGAACACTTAATTGGATGCATAAATTGGGACTAGTCAATATAGATTTGACACTTGGGAAGCGTACTATAAAAATCGATGTGACCCCGTTGCAAGCGTCAATTATCTACCTTTTCACAAAACAACGCGCTTGGTGTATCAGGGATTTAGCTCAGGTAATAATATTGTTTTTCACTGTGTAGTATTAAATTTTTCTTCTTCGTTTATGAGTGAGTAGTAGTTATTGTTCGAATCTATGCTCGGGAAATTCCCTTACTTGAACATTTGAATTAGATATTCCAAGAAGTGAAATGATAGTGGAAACTAGCAAAGAAAATTCATTTCGCTAATTTTCTTTCCTCTCCTTTTTACTAAACTCAAATTGACTCAAATTCGAACAGTTAGTCTTCCGTTAGCCCAAAAAGCCAGTGAGGTCAGGTCAGCTACTCGTCGTATAATTAACACTTTCAGTTGCAATCCATTGACTCTGCGGGCGAATTGACATCACAGTGTGTTAGCAGTAACATGGAAAGCAGCACAAAAAAGTCTTCTCACACCTCGCAAAGAAAACACAACACAGATGTTATTCCCATGACAACATACTGAATCTAAGGTCCATATTAAAAGATACAAGCTGGGATTTATTTACTGAAAAAGCTCTTGATAACACAATTACCAACATAGCACATTATCTTAATTTCTGTCTTGATGTTTGTTGTCCAAAAGAGACAATCTTCTTAAAATTCGATCGCTTCTCCTCTTCTCAACTCAAAAAGCTCCGCCGTGAAAAAGAAAGGTTGTTCAAAATGAAAAACAAATCTGGTGTTAAGCGAATGAACACTTTGATTAAACTTGAATTACAAAGATTGAATACTCTCTATAACCAGAAGTTTCTTTCATGTAAATCCCCATCTAATATGTGGAAGTTATTAAAGGAAATCACAGGTGGTAAGCAAATGATGAATGATATTTCTGTAGATGTTAACATGCTTAATGAATCCTTCATATGTATCCCAGCAAATGTTATGATTCCTAACTCAAATAGTGTAAATAATGACTGCTTCTCATGCTTTAACACGAATGATGTCCTCAAGTGTCTTCAATCTCTCAAACCTACTCAGTCCCTTGGTCCTGATGGTGTTCCTGCTGTCATCCTTAAGAAGCGTGTCAACATCTTGTGTTCCCCATTAACTGGCATTTTCAACGAATCGTTTTCTAAAAGTATTATACCTGAATCATGGAAAAATATCAAGATCGTTCCAGTGCCTAAATCAACAAGTGGACCAAATGTTAAGTTTAGACCTATTGCTATTACCTCACCTTTTTTGGAAGTTATGGAAAGACTTATTTTACTTAATCTCGAACCCTCTTTAAAGCCTTTCAATCACCCCAACCAGTTTGCTTATAAACATGTACGGTGTACGTTAGATGCCACTGTTGTCCTACATCATAGTATAGTCTCTAGTTTAGATAAAGGAGCTAAATACGTTCGCTGTGCCTTCCTTGATTACACATCTGCATTTGACTCTGTTCCCAGGTCTCTCTTGCTAAGTAAGCTTGCTGCAACACAGGCTGAGAGTTGGACAAATAGGTGGTTGCATTCCTATTTTTCTGATAGGAAGCAGTGCGTCGTCTACAATGGAAAGTCCTCCACTACCTCACTTACTTTAGCTGATGTTCCTCAAGGTGCTATTCTTTCTCTCTTTCTGTTTTCGTTTTTTCTACATGACTTACCTCATTCTGATGTAGCCACTTTTCTTAAGTATGCTGATGACCTCTCTGTTTCTATGCCTGTCGACTCTCAGTCAGATTACTTACTTTACTTCGGCTATCTCCTACGGGAGGATGAGCCGGCTTCATGAACATCTCGAATCATCGCTGCCCAGGCGCGGCGATCTGATGCAAGGTTTTGCGACAGGGTTATCCAATTCTTGTTCCACAGACAGAGTCCGTAGACGGTTTGTAGCCCCAGGCACTCCATATCAGCCTTGACTGTACCAAGCCATGTTTTCAGCTGTCCATCCCTGCGACATTGTCAAGATGGAAATGGCGAGGGGTTTAGAACTGATTTGACCAGATTGTCATCTGGTCGGCGCAGAACATGGCCAAACCACCGAAGGCGACGTTGTTGGACCAGTACTGGAATTTGGTTGATGTTGTAAAGAGTTCATGAAGTTTCATGGGAATTAGGTACGAGTGATGTCCCCAGCATCGCTCGGCCTTTTGTTTGAGAGTGCAGCTCTAGCTTTTACACAATCAAGTGTGACCTACAAGGCAGTAGGAGTGGAATAGGGAGTCCACTATCCATTGGCAGCCGGTGACCGGAGTCCGGTTCATACGCCTTTTTGAATGGGGCCAGACATCCAGGGCATCCAATAAGCCCTTTGTCCATACGTCTGCCGGTGAGCTTCATACGCCAGTCGTTGGAGGTTTGGAATCAGGGTTTAGCCATCTCCCCTAGACTGTCATCCAATGGACAGTCAACCCGGTGAAGAGCGCCGGGCATCCGCTTTTGCTCTCTCACTTCGGTGAAAAAAAACACCTCCGCCACGTGAAGGTAGTGAGTAGAACTTCCTCAGGAGAGGCTATGTCAGATTGTTCCAAATTAAATAACTTTCCGTCGGAAATTAGTCAGTGGTCCTCTTCAAACGGACTTAATCTTAATCCGTCTAAATGTCAGGCAGTCAATTTCACTTTCAGACGTAAACGTGACCTACAACTAGTTAGCTCACATGGCCCTACCATCATTGACGGCACAGATGTTGAAAATACATCTAATGTCAAGTACCTTGGTCTGAGTTTTTCCACCGATCTTTCCTGGTCCTCCCATATCTTGCTAGTTACTAGAAAGATGTTTCGCTTAACGTTCTACATTAGGGAATTTTGGCAATTTGGCATAAAGCAGTCTTTGCTTTCTCAGTTTGTCAATTCTTGTATTCTACCCATCCCCCTTTACTGCTCCCCTTTAATCTTTCCTGGACTACTTAATAAAGACTTTGCTTTCCTGAGAAGGGCACTAAAAGCCGTTAGTAGGAAGGGCAAGTAGGATGTCGTTAAACCAACAGGTTAACACTATTGTGGATAGACATATAATGTCATGTAAGAAGCTAGCGAATACAATATTGTCAGACCCCGAGCATCCTCTCTATACGCAGCTGTCTCCTTGCATTTCATCTGGTAGAACTAGAAGCAGCTATAGGAGGCTATATACTAGGACTATCAAATACAAAATCCCACAATACCATATCTGGCACAGCTGTTATGTGATGAGAAATCCGTTAGGTATGACACGATAAACTTACTGCGGCACTCTAACAAATAGTCCAATTAGTTTTTGTTTTCCTATCCTCGTTACTATTACACTGTTGTTCTCATCTTCTATCACACATCAACTTTAAATTTCATATCTTGTGGTGCATTGTTTGAAATGTAAACCCTACGCTGTTTATTTTTTTTTGGCGTTGGTTTTTATTTATTTATTTTTATTTTAAAAATCTTATAAAATTTATGAGGTAATTAGATGCAATATATTGTAATGCACGCTGAAAATTCCATATCTGTACCACAAATACTGTTTGGAATAAAGCTGTTAATATTATTATTATTATTAATTGTGTTAATTCGATTGAGTACTTCAGCAATCACAAAAGTGATACAATACATCGGCAAATTTTCAAATGTTAGTTTCCAGGGATTTGATTGGTTATGGTTTTAGTCATGTTGTGTGCTGACATCACTTAGAGAACCACTGGAATACCAGGGAGTACTAATGCGTACTCCTGAAAAGTCCAAGAGCAGGGTGAAACAGGTATCCAGTACTCCCTGGTTTTCCAGTCGTTCTCTGACTGATGTCGCCTCGTAATCAGACATCGGCAAGTATTTCCCTACTCCTTATGAAATAGTGCATAGGGAAGAAGGATTGTGCTTCCTACGAGAATCGAATGTTCCACACATCGAAAAATATACAGTAAGTTTCAGTTAGTAAATAACTGCTGTTAATATTGTATAGCAATTGGGAGAGGGAATTTTAAACAATGTTGTTGAATTGGTATTTACGTATACTCCAGAAATCGTAACTTTTTAACATCCTTGTTTATGTTAGCGAATTATCGGTGAATTAGTCTGTTGATCGATCATAGTTTGCATTGTTATTCAGTCAACTTATCGTATTTCAAATTTGCGCTTCAGAGCTAAACAGTGTCATCCGGCTTTATGCACTCTATGGGAGTGATAGCTGCATACATAATCTATTATAAGATTTGATAATGTGAAATATTCCCATTTTGACTTTTAATTCATAATCTATTATTGTTGGTGTCTGGCTTCAGAAACACATCTCCGTTTTGCTTTAATTTCTCTCCCTTTTCCACCTGGGTGCATAACTGACCACAAGCTTTCATTCCTTTTTCTCATATGATTTCCGTCATGCAACCCTCAGACCAACATCTAACTTATCACTTTCCATCCACCTTCTACTAGACAGCCTGGCGTATGATGTCACTTGAACATCTCCTCCGAGCATCTCTAATCCATCTCCTTTTGTATATCTGTTGTTTGGGCAATTAAATGTTGGCTTGTTCACTGACAAAGTTTCTTTATGTCTATTCTTGTTGGTCGGCCATCATCTTCAGTATCGAGAAAAGGCAACGAGCTCTTGGTGAAAGCCTGTAGCAGTTTGTTGCAAATGTCTTTGATAATGTAACAGTAGAAGGCAAGACATGGAAGCTAAGGTATATTTTCATTGATCAAACGGCTATTTATATATATATATATATATATATATATATATATATATCGGAAGTATGTAGCAATCCTACACCTCAATTTCACTAGATCATTTAGTGCATTGATAGTGTTTTCCGGGAGACGCTTATTTTATTTATTTTTGATTACAACTTGATTCCACACCGTATTTTTGGTACAAGTATGGAATTTTCAGCATGGATATTTGTAGCCCGAATTTCGCAGGCCGACGCTTCTTCAAGAATTGAAAACATTTATTTTTCGATACGAATTCAAAACAAGCAATAAAGGTTAATAAAGCAGAATGATTTAATGAATTCATCAAATTTTGGTAGAACTCCTAATGCAATTTATCTTAATTTCAATCTCTCATACTCCCTCCATCTCCCCTTATCTATTTGAACATGACCTGGAAAACATTCGCGCCTGTCTTTCTGCATGACTAATTCAATGTAGTTTATTTGCTTATCAGTCTTATATCTCCCAATGTAATTTCAAAAGTATATATGTATATATATATCCGTGTATGTAGAGTATTCAGCTGAGGAAGAGTTCTACCGAAATTTGATGAATTCATTAAATCATTCTGCTTTATTAACCTTTATTGCTTGTTTTAATATAGTTCTGTTTAATTCAGCAACAAATTTCACTGATCATTAATTACTTCGTTTTGTGATGTATGGGTCCTTTTTTGTGTCCTAGAAACTAGAAACTCAAATATCAAGTATCAGATCAAGTCTATGCATGTTTATTCAACTGGGATTTTTAAGACCTTTAAATTCACAAAACAGTAATTCAATGCGCACACTTGATACACTGGAAGCATATGAAGTTTGTGATGAGACAGACACCTCTGGTGGTGGTGGTGGCGGCGGTGAAAAGTCAACCGATGCTGATCGTTTAACACCTTCACATGATCCTGGTAAAGTCGTTGATTCTCCTGCTATTGAGACTGCCAGTAATTGGATTTTCTCATCAGAAGATAATTCTGATGCAATTGTCACGAGTGTTAAAGATCGCAAAGAAAAAGAATTACAGGTAAGTGTGATATATATATATATATATATTGCCCAGTTAGTAGTAGAACTTTTAAAATTGTCTTAGTTTTTGGTGTTACATATCCGAAGTTAATCGTGTTGTCTAACGTGTAACCATCATATTTTCGATGTGATTAAAACAGACAGACACACACGTACACACGAACCTACAGGCTTTCAAACCTTCATCTAACTGACTGAGTTTCAGTGTACAACTTTGTACACAGGTGCAACAGCCCAAGTTGCATGTTTCACACACAATGACAGAAGAAAAGATTCATAAGAACAGTATGATGAAAAAAATATGCAAAGGAAGAAGTGGTAACATGGAGAAATATGAGGATTTGATGGATTGGAGAGACTACTGAGAGTGAATTCATCTGCGCTATTGAGAAACATTTTCAACCAGTGTTATTAACAGTTCACAGACATTGAGGTTATTAGTTTCTCAGATACTCCAACCAGGCAGTTAACACCTCCATACATGGCTGGTTCAAACCGACAGTCAGACACCCTGTAGATTGATGATTCCATATTTTGGTCTGACCACCTCTAAATCTTTTCAACCTTAGTCGTATATGTTGTCAAAAATCACTCATTGGGGGAAGAGAATGACTCTACATCACTAAAGTGTCATGGATATTTCAATCGTTGCAACTTGATAATCTCGTCGAATAACGTTCTTTTGAGCCGACACTCTATGTATTACCTCAATACTACTCACCATAATTTATAACATTTAAGGCCAATGACCGGACGCATACGTCGACAGTCATGACGACTAGTCTCTTTATATTCTGTTCTAGTTTCAACGGTCAAGTTTTGCAACGGTGACAGTAAAACTGCCGCAGAAAATTCATAAGCGCAGTGTGCACATGTCTTTTTATCGATATCTGTAAATCGCATTTGCACTAAAGGTGATGCAAGTCAGTTAGTTAGTTAGTGGCATATGTACCTTTAAACTCGTTATCAGTGATGCGATTATGCTGTTTAGGCTAAAACTATTTACTCCCCGGAGCTAGATAGTAGTGAATCGTATCTGACCTCCTTATATTTAATTAACGTTGAGATTTCCTTTGTTTTGTGAAACATAAATTTACACTTTTGTCCCATCCAAAGGTTGATGATTATGATTCATTTATCCAAGATATCAGTTGTTCTGTAGATGCAACTTGTCTTCAACTAACTAAACACAGCTGTCAAAAAAAAACAAAGACAATCATTTTTCACATGCTGAGAATAGGTTTTCTTGTATCCCATTGTTTTTTTTTTTTTTACAAATTATAAGATTACTCTTCTGAATATTTTTTTCTTCTCAGTATTGTAAACAGTTTATCAAAAGTATGACTTCTACCGCGCTGTCTTTTCAGGTATTTTGGTCGTATATCACTGCTATGCTGACCAACCTTGGAAGTCTTTCGTTAGATAGAATCCATTCAATGCTGAGAATGTTTGCTCTCGGCTCTACATCAAGCTTAGAATTCAGTAGAGATGAATTACGCAAATTTTTGGATAGAAAAATTCGTGAAGGCCGATTAGGCTGTGATGGCGATATATACAAATTATTATCACCAGATGTGTAAATTATTTTCTTTAAAACTAGATGGATTTTCTTTTCATACTGTATATATAAGCAATAAAACTGATGTCATTGTTTCAAAGAAAAATCTCCATTCCCTTGACTTCTGGATAAAACATAAAGATTCAAGTTGTGAGCTTTGAATCCACAGTTTTTTCACAGCGTGAGTTTTCCAACGCCTTCGTTCTTTCCAGCCTTAATACAGACTAGGAAAATTTGTAAGTGTATATGCTGACGCTGACTACACACACCTATTTAGTGACCATTCTACTCGGCGATTCCACAATATAAAGTAAATATTCATTCAGAAATTTAGAAGAAAGAATAATTAGGCAAAAATTATCCTTATCGATAATTTCCAATCACACCAAGAAACGCCATTATTTCTAAAAAACCAACAATTTCTTTTACCTGAAAGTAACTGACATATATTCAAACAATATTCAGCGAACACCTGCAAATAGTACCATATACGAACCCAGAAGATACCGGCGTAAAAAGTACAAACCATAAAAATCACTAATTCTGATCTTCCGTATTAAAACAAAACCAAAACAAATCATAAAAAACATTTCACTAAGTCCCCAAAGATACGGAAATAGATAGAACAAAACACCATTCACTAAAACGAATCCAAAAGTGTATTCTGATTCACATGTACACAGTCATCAAAGTCTCGTATTCACGTACATCTGTCGAATGTTCTGCGTTGACTTCCTAGGCAGTCAGTCAGTCATTGAGTGAATCAGTTAGTGAGTGAGATATTGAGTGAGTGAGTGAGTGAGTGAGTGTCTGACTGAATGAGCGAATGATTCGGTGAGAGAGTCATTGATTGTGAGAGGCTGGCGGCGAGGCGGCCAGCCACTCGGTCGAGCAAATTTCTTCACCCTACAAACTCAATGTGAAGACGAGCTAAACCTCAGGTTAGCCACTACTGCTCCTGCACAAAGTGTAGGCCGACACAGACAGAACCTCGAAAACACCATTGAGACGACGAGTCAGACCGCCTACAACGCCTCACAATGTAGTCGTCTCATTCCTCACTAGTCAAGCCTGAATGATATCGATGTCACGCTGAGCACTCCACTGAAACCTGCACTAATCCACTGACTTTCTATCATGGACAGTGAGTATGTAGCATTACCATCCGAAGAATAAGCTTACTCAAGTGCCAACTGCATGTCTGCGTCTTTCACAATCTGATAGACTTATTTCATGAGAACTTATCAAGCTGACTGGCCGTGCAAAGATTAGTAGGTGAAGCGGCGTGTCAAGCCATCCATGGCTGACTGAATGAAAGTTGAGTGTTTATTGCAACAAGCCAGCTACTATGAGTCACTTATGTCGACTACAGCTAAAAGCTTCACTCTCTTCTCAAGGAGTGATTGAGAAGAGAAGCGATTTTCAAGTGGGTATGCAGCTCAGAATCAGTCCTACCGTCAAGTCAATGACTCATTTGAAACAAGTGAACTCGATAGATATCATGACACCACTACTACTAGTGGCAGGAATCGCAACAACAACTCACATGTACACACTCATCAAAGTCTCGTATTCACGTACATCTGTCGAATGTTCTGCGTTGACTTCCTAGGCAGTCAGTCAGTCATTGAGTGAATCAGTTAGTGAGTGAGATATTGAGTGAGTGAGTGTCTGACTGAATGAGCGAATGATTCGGTGAGAGAGTCATTGATTGTGAGAGGCTGGCGGCGAGGCGGCCAGCCACTCGGTCGAGCAAATTTCTTCACCCTACAAACTCAATGTGAAGACGAGCTAAACCTCAGGTTAGCCACTACTGCTCCTGCACAAAGTGTAGGCCGACACAGACAGAACCTCGAAAACACCATTGAGACGACGAGTCAGACCGCCTACAACGCCTCACAATGTAGTCGTCTCATTCCTCACTAGTCAAGCCTGAATGATATCGATGTCACGCTGAGCACTCCACTGAAACCTGCACTAATCCACTGACTTTCTATCATGGACAGTGAGTATGTAGCATTACCATCCGAAGAATAAGCTTACTCAAGTGCCAACTGCATGTCTGCGTCTTTCACAATCTGATAGACTTATTTCATGAGAACTTATCAAGCTGACTGGCCGTGCAAAGATTAGTAGGTGAAGCGGCGTGTCAAGCCATCCATGGCTGACTGAATGAAAGTCGAGTGTTTATTGCAACAAGCCAGCTACTATGAGTCACTTATGTCGACTACAGCTAAAAGCTTCACTCTCTTCTCAAGGAGTGATTGAGAAGAGAAGCGATTTTCAAGTGGGTATGCAGCTCAGAATCAGTCCTACCGTCAAGTCAATGACTCATTTGAAACAAGTGAACTCGATAGATATCATGACACCACTACTACTAGTGGCAGGAATCGCAACAACAACTCACATGTACACACTCATCAAAGTCTCGTATTCACGTACATCTGTCGAATGTTCTGCGTTGACTTCCTAGGCAGTCAGTCAGTCATTGAGTGAATCAGTTAGTGAGTGAGATATTGAGTGAGTGAGTGAGTGAGTGAGTGAGTGTCTGACTGAATGAGCGAATGATTCGGTGAGAGAGTCATTGATTGTGAGAGGCTGGCGGCGAGGCGGCCAGCCACTCGGTCGAGCAAATTTCTTCACCCTACAAACTCAATGTGAAGACGAGCTAAACCTCAGGTTAGCCACTACTGCTCCTGCACAAAGTGTAGGCCGACACAGACAGAACCTCGAAAACACCATTGAGACGACGAGTCAGACCGCCTACAACGCCTCACAATGTAGTCGTCTCATTCCTCACTAGTCAAGCCTGAATGATATCGATGTCACGCTGAGCACTCCACTGAAACCTGCACTAATCCACTGACTTTCTATCATGGACAGTGAGTATGTAGCATTACCATCCGAAGAATAAGCTTACTCAAGTGCCAACTGCATGTCTGCGTCTTTCACAATCTGATAGACTTATTTCATGAGAACTTATCAAGCTGACTGGCCGTGCAAAGATTAGTAGGTGAAGCGGCGTGTCAAGCCATCCATGGCTGACTGAATGAAAGTCGAGTGTTTATTGCAACAAGCCAGCTACTATGAGTCACTTATGTCGACTACAGCTAAAAGCTTCACTCTCTTCTCAAGGAGTGATTGAGAAGAGAAGCGATTTTCAAGTGGGTATGCAGCTCAGAATCAGTCCTACCGTCAAGTCAATGACTCATTTGAAACAAGTGAACTCGATAGATATCATGACACCACTACTACTAGTGGCAGGAATCGCAACAACAACTCACATGTACACACTCATCAAAGTCTCGTATTCACGTACATCTGTCGAATGTTCTGCGTTGACTTCCTAGGCAGTCAGTCAGTCATTGAGTGAATCAGTTAGTGAGTGAGATATTGAGTGAGTGAGTGAGTGAGTGTCTGACTGAATGAGCGAATGATTCGGTGAGAGAGTCATTGATTGTGAGAGGCTGGCGGCGAGGCGGCCAGCCACTCGGTCGAGCAAATTTCTTCACCCTACAAACTCAATGTGAAGACGAGCTAAACCTCAGGTTAGCCACTACTGCTCCTGCACAAAGTGTAGGCCGACACAGACAGAACCTCGAAAACACCATTGAGACGACGAGTCAGACCGCCTACAACGCCTCACAATGTAGTCGTCTCATTCCTCACTAGTCAAGCCTGAATGATATCGATGTCACGCTGAGCACTCCACTGAAACCTGCACTAATCCACTGACTTTCTATCATGGACAGTGAGTATGTAGCATTACCATCCGAAGAATAAGCTTACTCAAGTGCCAACTGCATGTCTGCGTCTTTCACAATCTGATAGACTTATTTCATGAGAACTTATCAAGCTGACTGGCCGTGCAAAGATTAGTAGGTGAAGCGGCGTGTCAAGCCATCCATGGCTGACTGAATGAAAGTCGAGTGTTTATTGCAACAAGCCAGCTACTATGAGTCACTTATGTCGACTACAGCTAAAAGCTTCACTCTCTTCTCAAGGAGTGATTGAGAAGAGAAGCGATTTTCAAGTGGGTATGCAGCTCAGAATCAGTCCTACCGTCAAGTCAATGACTCATTTGAAACAAGTGAACTCGATAGATATCATGACACCACTACTACTAGTGGCAGGAATCGCAACAACAACTCACATGTACACACTCATCAAAGTCTCGTATTCACGTACATCTGTCGAATGTTCTGCGTTGACTTCCTAGGCAGTCAGTCAGTCATTGAGTGAATCAGTTAGTGAGTGAGATATTGAGTGAGTGAGTGAGTGAGTGTCTGACTGAATGAGCGAATGATTCGGTGAGAGAGTCATTGATTGTGAGAGGCTGGCGGCGAGGCGGCCAGCCACTCGGTCGATTAAATTTCTTCACCCTACAAACTCAATGTGAAGACGAGCTAAACCTCAGGTTAGCCACTACTGCTCCTGCACAAAGTGTAGGCCGACACAGACAGAACCTCGAAAACACCATTGAGACGACGAGTCAGACCGCCTACAACGCCTCACAATGTAGTCGTCTCATTCCTCACTAGTCAAGCCTGAATGATATCGATGTCACGCTGAGCACTCCACTGAAACCTGCACTAATCCACTGACTTTCTATCATGGACAGTGAGTATGTAGCATTACCATCCGAAGAATAAGCTTACTCAAGTGCCAACTGCATGTCTGCGTCTTTCACAATCTGATAGACTTATTTCATGAGAACTTATCAAGCTGACTGGCCGTGCAAAGATTAGTAGGTGAAGCGGCGTGTCAAGCCATCCATGGCTGACTGAATGAAAGTCGAGTGTTTATTGCAACAAGCCAGCTACTATGAGTCACTTATGTCGACTACAGCTAAAAGCTTCACTCTCTTCTCAAGGAGTGATTGAGAAGAGAAGCGATTTTCAAGTGGGTATGCAGCTCAGAATCAGTCCTACCGTCAAGTCAATGACTCATTTGAAACAAGTGAACTCGATAGATATCATGACACCACTACTACTAGTGGCAGGAATCGCAACAACAACTCAC